CCCTAAACTTCATATAGGAAATTACAATACCCATTTAATTATTATTTATCATAATAGATGAAAATGTCTCTTAAAATAATTACTTAATGGAAAATGGAGGCAAAAGAATAATGAGAAGTGTAAAGTTTAAGTATTGTATTTTTTTGTGGTAATCAGAAAAGGTAATTCATTAACCGAGAAATTTTCGCCCTCCGCACTCTCTAAGCGATCGTATTGCACAATGAATGGGGCATCGCAACTTGAAATCCGATAGACGCTACATAGGATCGTGTTCTGCACCGGTACAATACGCTTTCAAATAAATTCGCGACTTACGACCCTTTATTTTCTGGCAACACGTTAACAATCTCTTTCAACTGAATACGAAACCAGATTTACCATTTTTCTTCTTTTTTTCAATTACATAACATCTTTTTAACTTTTACGAACCCGGATATACTATTTGTATTTTGATTCTTATGCAAAATATATGGTCAATAATAGTTGCAAAAGATTTATAATCTCCAGACTAGAAAAAAGCTGAAAGGATTTTATCTTAGGATTAAAGTACAGATCTACTATTTTTCTTTAATAATGATTTAACAATTTTTTTTTATGTAAAAATTTTATACTTGTACTTTCTTTTCGATTAGTGTCAATCCTGATATTTATTGACATTTTTCACAAGAGAAAAAGAAAAGCAATAATAAGAAATTGTTTCTTCCTTGCATTTTCATAAAAAAAAAGATGAGGATTGTTTACCGTACGGTACAAGTTGTTATCGTTGTACACAATAAAATTGAAGCAATAAAATGAATATGGCAATAAAAATGCAAATAAAGCTGTTATTTTAACAGTTTTGTGAGCGAAAATTCTCTCCGCGTTGTGTCGCATACAGAATTTTTGGGGAATGTATTTCTTTTTTTTTACAATTATTATATTACATTTTTGGAATACGAAAATTGTCGTAAGATGTGCAATAACGTCTTAGAAAAGTAATTAACATCTTGGAGATATGACAATAAATCGTATTTACGATCAGAGGTAAATGTTGTTGCGAGAGAGTTTAAAATTTTACAGGTTGGATGGTTTTAGTAATAATAACAAGAAACGCGCTCCCTTTTAATGCGGCACCACGCGCGCGGTTTTCTATATACTGTGCGTTCAGATTTAAACGCGCCGCATGTTCACAAGATATAGGCGCGTGATTTAGTAATAGCACTCATATAATGATCCTTCGACGATAAATTACAGATCTACCGCACACGTCACATATTTTCTACTTGCGTAACTATATTTTTGAGAAACAAAAAAATTTTTATATATTCTTAATGTCAGTGACCGTTTATTAATTAAATATTTTTGAATAAAAGGTTTATCGGTCGTTTTAATTAATTTATTTAAAAAAAGTGTCGAAGATAAGTCGGTACCGACCCATCTTCAGAACTAAAAAACAAAAGAATTTTTAAGGAAAAAATTTTTTTTTTACAAACAAATAAAAATTAATAAGATTAATTAATTTTATCTGTATTCATTGTTAGTTATCGACAGTTCTGTTAAAAATAATTTTTGTGTCAAACATGTCGAGAATCTTCGATTTTATAAAAATATTTCTCTAAATGGAAATGCAGTCACGTCGACGATTATTTATTTTTGTTGTATATGTATATGCGGTCTTACAACTTTCTAAGGTAACAATTTATTCTTAGGTCTTGAAAATACTATATACTCTACTCATATTATAATTATTCCAACGGGATTATACTATATATTTGAAATAATGGTAAAAAGTCGAAAAATATTTAGTAAAAACATTCTCGTGCGGAAATTGCCCGAAATTGTCGTATTTATATTTTTAAACCAGGTTTTAATCAGAGTCTATTTTAATAATTACACAGCGCAAAAAAAATCTATTTGAATCATTTAAACGATTACTTGACTATTATCAATTAAATATTTACCTGAATCAAATAATTTTTACTTGAGTCAATTAAATGGTATTTGCTTCAAATACTGAAATTATTGGTTTAAACTTTAAATACAATTTAATTTACTAAAATAAAAATTATTTGATTAAAGTAAATATTTAATAGACTCAAGTAATCGGTTATTTGATTCAAATAAATTCTTTTTTCTGTGCAATTCTTTTGAAATTTGTTAAATCTTTAATGTATATTTAATTAATTATTCAAAATAATGGATTTAAAGAGGAATTTTAGTAAAAAAATTGAAATTAGAAGAAGTTAGAAATTATTGCAGAAATTCAATTATTCTCAAAAGTAATAAAATTCTTTGCAGAAATTCAATTTTGTTAAAAAATTATAAAAAATTCTTGATAAGATTTCAGTTATGTTTATATGTAATAAAATTCTCCTCTGAAATTCAATTATTTTCAAAAATTTGAATAAAATTATTTGCAAAATTTCAATTATTATCAAAAATTTTCAAGAATTCAATGATTTTCAATATCTACTATTTTAATAAAATTTTCCAAAATGATTCAATTATTTAAAAAATATATATATATATAAGTAATTTGTTTATTAGATATTAATAATTATTTTCAATACATTTTTAATTAAATTTCTTGAAACAATTTAATTATTTTCAATAAATTTTAATAAAATTCTTCGAAAACATTTAATTATTTTCATAAATAATAAAAATTCCACAGGAATTCAATTATTTACAAATTTTTTATAAATTTTTTCTCAATAATTCAATTATTTTCATAAATAGTAAAATTTGATACAGGGATTCAATTATTTTCATAATTCTAATAAAACTCTTTTTATATAGGAATTCAATTATTTTCATAAATAAATTACTTTTTTTTTAAATTTAATTATTTTCATAAAAAATAATAAAACTCATCGCAGAATTTTAATTATTTTTAATACAATTTTAGTAGAATTCCTTGAAAAATGTAATTATTCTTAAAAATTTGATTAAAATTCGTTAAAACTTAAAAGTATTCAATTATTTAACAATTTGTTGATAAAATTCGTTATTAGAATTAAATTTTAAGAAACATTCAGTTATTCAATTTTTTAAATTTATTTTTGTGATTAAAATTCTTCGCAGAAATTCAATTATGTTAAAAATTTTTTTTAAATTCTTGTCGAGATTTCAATTATATTTATATAATAAAATTCTTCTCTGAAATTCAGTTATTTTAAATAATTTTAATAAAATTCTGTGCAAAATTTCAATTATTTTCAAAATTTTTTCTCATTTCAGTAAATTTTAATATCTAGGTACTATATTATTAACAAAACTTTTCAAAAGAATTAAATTATTAAAAGAAAAAAATTCAATAAAATTGAACGCAAACATTTAATTATTGTCATAAATAATAAGAATTTTACCTGAATTCAATTATTTACAAACTTGTTATAAATTTATTCGCAATAATTCAATTATTTTCAAAAATAATAAAAAATTTTACAAGGATTCAATTATTTTCATAAATAATAAAATTCTTTTTATAGGAATTCAATTATTTTCATAAATAATAAAATTCTTTTAATGGGAATTCAATTATTTTTATAAATAATAAAATTCATCGCTGAAATTTTGTTGTTTTCAATACAATTAATTTTAATCGAATTGTAGTGTGAATTTTTAGAAATAATTGAATTTTGAAAACGTTTCAAATTAAAATCTTTGAAAATCTTAATTTTTCCTATTTTCAGTTAACAATTCTGTAGAATTAATGTTTTTGGAAAAGTTTAATTGGATTTTTTTTTGAAATTATTTCAATTTTTTATTTTCTAAATTATATTTAATTAATGAATTTCCGAATAATTGAACGTATAATTGAATTGTAAACAAATTGATTTAAAAATTCTCAAAAGAAGAACTTTTTCAAAAATTATTAAAAATAATTGATTTAAAGAAGAATTTTAGTTAAAAATTCTAGAAAATAATAATTTTTGAAGTGTATCAGAATATTCTTTACAGACAGGGAAAAAGTAAACATTTTGGCTTAATTTTGTATTCGGAAACTGACTCTAAGATCTAATGTTGTCTTAATTTTATGTTGTAAGTCCAATAATGAGTTGAATTTAAGAAAAACAGGCTAAACACTTTAACTATGCTTAAAGATTCTGTTTAAATATTTTTATTTTAGAGAAGAGAGTAAATTTTAATTTAAGAGTTTTCTAAAACTAAACTAGACTTGAAAATACGACTTTCTTAAAATAAGACCTATTTTGTAGTATTTCGCGAATTTTTTCACATAACATTTATTTACAAAATACAATTTAGAAAATACAAAGTTTGAAACTGTTTACATCTTAACGGCGAAATAAATGATTAATAGATATGCTTTAATCAAAAATGGATCTAAACCCACTTAATTAATTGATTAATTTTGTGATTAATTTTTTAAAGTTAATACACTGCACTGAAAAAAAAATTTAATTGATTTAAATAACCGATTAATAATTGACTATTATCAATTAAATATTTAATTGAATCAAATAATATTTATTGGAGTCAATTAAATATTCAATTGTTAATACTCAAGTAATCGGTTATTTGAATCAATTAATTTTTTTTTTCAGTGTAAAAAAACATTATACTTAATTCAAATAGAAAAATAATTGTAAGTGATTTTGTTTAGTTGAAATTAGTTTGTAAGCTTAATCCCAATATATAGAAAATTTCTACTGCCTTGATTCACAATCACAAATATTATTTGTTTGAATAATTATGTTTAATTCAAACATATTTTCTGTTTTGATTTCAACAAAATATGTTTGAATTAAATAAATCGTTTTCTCAGTGTAAGACTTTTTCTGTACTATACTGAAAACTGGGGTAAAAATTCGGAAAAAAAGAAGAAATAAGTTGAGACAATATTCGCTAAGAATTTGGAGTTAAGAATTTGGTGATTATACCAAGAAAAGTTTTAGATGTATATACAGATATAAAGAAGTTTTGCGCGTTTTGCCCTTGTTCGACAACTGGTAGTTTGGCACTCAATTAAAGTTTTGTGAATAAATTCTGGTTTTCAGATGCCTCGTCGTCGAATGAAGCGGTGCACCTACAGCAGCGATTGAAGAGCTTGAGCACGGAATTGGTGACCCTGAGGAACCGGCTGCACGTGAGCCAACCTGCGAGCAATTCAGGGCCGGCAGGTGCAACGTGCAATCCCCTGGGCAAAAGTCCCGATAAGAGTTTGAGTACAGCAGCTCCTGCGGTGCCACCGAGGACAACATTACCACCAGGTGGTGGCGGTGGCAACAGTGGCGGTGGTACCCTTAATATTGGACATCCTTCCGGTCATACTCTTACCGCTTCCGCGATCGTTCATCCTCATGCAAATCATGGCACGAGCAACGCTCTCAACCACAACTCGACCACAAATAATTTAATATCTGGTCAGTATCTAACCACACGTCCACGCTGCGACATGCCATTTACGTTTCAGAGACTTGTTGTTTCATGTTGCAAAATTTCGACGTGATCGAATTTATGATAATGGGAAATTTCAAAGGTGATGTTTTAATGCATATATATATATATTTCGAAATTTACCATCGTTTTTTCGTTAATTCAATCTTTTCCAAAAAATTTATTGTATTTTTTATTTTTTTTAATTTCTTTTCAATTTTTTTCAATTTTTTAGTTTTTTAAATTTCCTATTTGTTGAGTAAAGATGAGAAAATGAAAATGAGAAAATTTGTTGAGAAAATGAGTACAAAGTAAATTCTTTATTTTTATTTTTCTGTGGATATCAAATTGAGACAAAAACGAATCAAAACGTTGCTTCGCAACACTTTTGATTCGTTTCTGTCTCAATTTGACATCCGCAGAAAAAATGTGTTTTAAAAAGTAAAAGCTAAACTATCTGAAACTTCTGCACATTTCTGGACACTTTTACTATTTTCGGAGTAGAACCTGTTCCAAGTAAATTTTTGGTAAAAATTAATAAAATTCATTTTGAGTAGCAAAATTTACTCTAAAAATAGTAAAAAGTGGGGAGAAATGCACAAAAGTTCCTGAAAGTTTAGTTTTTACTTTTTAGATAGTAAAAGATACTCTTTTTACCCCTGTGACCTATAATTTCATTTTCTGTACTTTATTTTTTATATTTTCCTGGAAATTTGTTGTTGTGCCCTATTCTATTCTATTCCATTTTAATATTAATTTTTATTATATTAATTATTAACAAAGTTGACACAGGGTTAGGGAAAAGTCCGAGAAAGTAGAATTGGTGAAGGAAATCAGGGAAAAGCCAGGAATTATTATTAAAAGTACTGGAAAAAATTTAATTTTTAGAATATTCAGAAGAAACTTCTGAATTTTTGTATCTTTTTTCTTTGTCTCATAAACTATTTCTATTCTTAATACAAATCCTTTAAATTTTTATACTTCTGCCAATAATTTCTTTTTAAATAACTTCATTCTTAAAGAACTATCATAAAATTATTACTTAGAAATTATTTAATGAATAATTTTACGTAAATAATTCGAAATTAATTGAATTTTGAAGAAGTTGCATTTACAATTTTCGTAAATAAATAAACTTCAAAAGGTTTCAATTTTAAATTCTATAAAATTTCAATTTTCAATGAATTTAACTAAAAATTTTAAAAAACTTAGATTTTTGAGAAATTTTAATAATTCAAATTCTTTTGAATTTAAAGTTTAATTTTTTAATATATATTTAAATAATTATTAGAAATAATGGATTTATAGAAGAATTTTAATTAAAATACTTTAAAAAAAATAAATTTTGGGAAAGTTACAAATAATTTTTAAAAATTCTCATCAAAATTCCAATTAACTTATTAATTAATAATAAAATTCTTCTGCGAAATACAATTATTTTCAAAATAATACAATACTTCGAAAAATTCAATTATTTTTAAAAAATTCTAATAAAATTCTACGCAAACATTTAATTATTTTCATAAAATAATAAAAATTTCACAAGAATTCAATTATTAGCAAATTTTTTATAAATTTCTTCGCAATTATTCAATTGTTTTCATAAATAATAAAATTTTTACAAAATTCAATTATTCTCGTAAATAGTACAATTCTTTTTAGAGAAATTTTAAGAATTCAAATTCTTTTGAATTTAGTTCAATTTTTTAATATGTATATTGAAATAATTATATTAAAAATAATGGATTTATAGAAGAATTTTAGTTAATAACACTAAAAAAAATTTAATTTTGGGGAAGTTACAAATAGTTGAAGAAATTATTTTCAAAATTAATAAAATTATTCGCTGAAATTCAATTATATTCAATAAAAATTCTTCTTAAAATTTCAATTATCTTTATAAATAATAAAATTCTTCTCCAAAAATTAGTTATTTTTAAAAATTTTAATAAAACTCTTGTCAAAACTTCAATTATTTACAAAAAAATTTTCTTAGTTCCTCAATATCTACTTTTTAAATGAAATTTTCCAAAAGAATTCAATTATTCAACAAAATTTCCATCAAATTGTAAGCAAACATTTAATTATTTTCATAAATAACAAAAATTTCTGAGGAATTCAATTATTTACAAAATTTTTATAAATTTCTTCGTAATTATTCAATTATTTTCATACCTATAAATAATAAAAATTTTACAAGATTCAATCATTCTCCTAAATAGTATAATTCATTTTAGAAGTTCAATTATTTTCACAAATAATAAATCTCATCGCTGAAATTCAATTCTTTTTAACGGAATTTTAAATTTTTAATCGAATTTATCGAAAAATTTAATTTATTTATTTAATTTATAAACTAGTTGATAAATTTCTTTATGAAAATTCAATTTTAAAAAACATTCAATTATTCAATAAATTATTTTTTCCTGTAGGTATCTGAAAGCGTGAATTTTTATAAATAATTGAATTTTGAAAAGGTTTCAAATTAAAATCTTCGAAAATCTAAATTTTTCCTACTTTTGTCTAACAATTTTGTAAAATTAATTTTTTTGAAAAAGTTTAGTTGAATTTTCGTTGAAATTATTTGAAGTTTGTATTTTCTAATATAGATTTAATTGAAGAATTTCCAAATAATCGAAATTTCGTAAAATTGACTTGTAAACAAATGGATTTGAATCAGAATATTCTTTAGGGTGAGGGAAAAAGTAAAATTTTTTTCTAGAAATCATATAACAGTCAAGAAAAAAAGAAAATTAAATTTTTGTGTCAACTGTGATTAATTATTATTAAATTATTACTATTTTATTTATTAAATATCAATTATTCTACTTGAAGTAACAAGTCTCTATTCTATATATGACACGCCCCACAAAAAAGGACGAAAACATTATTTTTTTAAATAAAAATTAAAAATAATAAAATAATTATGTAACGTGTAATTTTTTGCATCTTTTGTCCTTTTTTAAGAGCTCGTTATATATATTTACATATTTTTCCATTGTTTTCTATTCTTTATTAATTGAGGAGCAAGTTTTCAAAACTTTTATTCGAAAAATCAAAATGGCGAATCCAATATGTCGATCAAAACTTTATGTCCAGTTAATCTCAAAGAAAATAGTAATTTAGAATAATTTTTTTTGGTGTTGAAATCTTATTAGTGTTAATAATATTATAAAGTAATAAAGAATTTATTCAATTAATTAAGTAATAAAGAAATAAAATTAATATTAAAAAAATAAAATGATTAATAATTAATACTGCTGCAAAGTTTTTAAAAACTTGCTTCTCTATTCTTCTTTATAATTCAATTAATTCCCTGCAAAAAAAAATTAACTTAATAAAAATAAAATAAAATTTGATAATATATTTTACGAATATTAAGAATAAAAGAGGACCTTTTCAATTTTTTCTTTTATGAAAAATAGGAACAGAATTGAAATGTCATTGCAAAAATTGCAAACAGTGTAAATAGGAGATAAGGGCCCTGATGTTTGCTAAAAGTTACAAAATTTATTGGCGATTTCTTTCAGTGAAAGTTAGAAAGTTTCGTGTATATCCTTGAAGTTTTTCTTAAAAAGGTCTGGTAAAATATTCGTGCCAAAAGAAAAGTTTTAGTTTTCTCATTCGATTCTTGTTCATTTAATCATTCAATTCACGCATTTTTTTTCTCAAACAAAAAAAATTTCTCTCAATAAAAACGAGAAAATTCTTTTTTCAGTAAAAAAGAATTTTTTTATAATATAAAACTAAATTTAAAATTTTTTCAAATAGAAAAGAAAATAAAATAAAATCCGAAGGGGGGGAAAAATAGCAAAAAATTCTCTTTTCGAGGTAAAAAAATTAAAAAATAAAATTTGATTTTTTTCCCCAAAATTTTTGTATTGCAAAAGAATTAATTTCTCCAAGGGGAGTGAAAAAAAAATTGGTAAAATTACATTGTTAACATAATGAATATGTCACGGAGTTTGAACTAACCACATTAGGATCACTCGTCTGGGATTAAGCTCGTGAAACCGCGTCCAACATCAAATATCGAATTACACTTCTACCTCTCTGATATAACCAAAGTATTATCTATCAGTGTTGTTGAATTTAATTTATTAATGGCGCTGTTTAATACTGCACTCTAGTCAATTTTCAAATTAACATATTCATTAAATTCAATTAGTTTAGGTTTTATATACCCTCTGCTAAATGAAAAAAAAATTATAGACCAAAAAAATTTTTTAAATATTTTACAATTCAAAATATCATTTGAATAAAGAATCATGAAATAACAGTTATTTTGTAATAAAATAAAATTTTATTACTATTTCTTATTTGCATCTTGAAATTAATTTCAGCTTTGATTCGTTGAAATTCACAAAATTTCAAACAAGAATTCTCTCTATTGGAGAAAATTCCATTTCCTGTTATTTTAACTTGTTGTGCATTTTTTTTTTATAGTTTAAACTTTTTTCCTCTTTCTCTCGTTTTATATTTTTTCTTCTTCTGAATTTTTCCCATGTTTGTTAGATTTCGTCCGTTTATTTATCAAATTTAATTAAAAAAATATTTTTTTATTTGTTGTATTTTTTATTAATTTTTTTTTCTTATATTTATCTCTCTCTCTAGAAGTTAATAATACGAAGAGAGATTGAAAAGAATTTAAAAATCTCGTAATTTTATTCTTTTATGTGCGGTCGAGAAAAGAGTTTACTTTTCACGAAAAAGAGTAAACGAACATTATTTAAAGAGTATCTCTCGCGCATTCGATTCTATGAAGTTTTCTTTAAAGAACTTCGTTATCTTATATTGATAATAGCGGTATAATTATTAAAAAGGAAATGATACTTTTTTTTTGTTTGAAAAAATAATTAACTTTCCAACTATGAAAATTGTGATAAAGAGGAATGGGAAAAAAAATGTTTAACAAAGAAATGACAAAGCTTTATTGTGATGAACTAATATTAAAATTTTTTATTCAGAGAAAGGTATTATTAATTTTTCAAAACATTGCAAATTTTAATAAAATAATTAAATTTTTATTATTTATTTATTTCGTATTGCTTTTATTATATATTTATTCAAAATTTAATTAAATTTAATTAATTCAGAAATTAATTCAAAAATAATTTATAAACCTTAAAAATGTTTCGATTTTATTTCTTAAAGGTAATTGGATTTTTATGAACAAGCAATCGACATTTTCTAAAAAAAAAAATGAAATTTCTGTGTTTAGAATTTCAATTTGGTTAAAAAATTCAAGTTTCGAAATAGTTTATTAAAATTTCTTATAAGAAGTATGTTTGAAATCTATTTTTGAAAGGTAATTGGATTTTTATAAACAATTAATTGCCGTTTTTAAAAATAATAATTGTCAAATGATAATTGAATTTTAATTATTAAGTAATTGAAATTTTAATAAAATTTCACGAAACAATTCAATTATTTTCTAAAATTTTAATAAATCCTTCTAAACAATTCAATTATTTTTTTAAATAGTAAAATCTTGACAAAAATTCAATTATTTTCAAAACAATTTTAATTAAATTCCTCGGAAGAACTCAATTTAAAAAAAAAATTTTAATCATTTCGAAAAAATTCAATTTTTTTCTAAAATTTTAATAAATCCTTCGAAAAAATTCAATTTTTTTCTAAAACTTTAATAAATCCTTCGAAAAAATTCAATTATTTTTATAAATGGTAAAATTCTTCACAAGAATTCAATTAATTTTATAAATATTAAAATTCTTTGCGCAGGAATTCAATTATTTTCAAAACAATTTTATTAGAATCCCTCGGATGAATTCAAATATTTAAAAATATTTTTATAAATTTCAATTATTTCCTAAAATTTTAATAAATTCTTCGAAACAATTCAACTATTTTTCTAAATTCTTAACTTCTTTGCAGGAATTAAATATTTTTTAATTCAATTTAAATAAAATTACACGAAAGAATTTAATTATTTTCAAAAATTTCCATAAAATTCAATTTCAACAAGAATTTAAAATTTTCTAAAAATAATTCAATTACTCTTAAAATAGTTTTAAAAAATTCTTTATAAAAATTGAATTACTTTCAATGCAATTTTTAAATATATTCGTCAAAAAAATTGAAAGAATTCAATTATTTTCAAAAAATAATAAAATTCTTGTCATGAATTCAATTATTTTCGAAACAACTTTAATTGAATTTCTCGAAAAAATTTCGTTATTTTCAAATATTTCTATAAAATTTCTCATAACAATTTAATTATTTCTTAAAATTTGAATAAATTCTTCTAAACATTTCAATTATTTTTATGAATAGTAAAATTCTTCGCAAGAATTCAATTATTTTTATAAACAGAAAAATCCTTTGCAGAAATTCAATTCTTTTCAAAACAATTTCAATAGAATTCCTCGAAAAAATTTAAATTTTCAAATATTAACATATAAAACTCATTTATTTTCTAAAATTTTAATAAATTCTTCGCAACAATTCAATTATTTCTATAAATAGTAAAATTCTTCGCAAGAATTCAATTATTTTCAATACAATTTTAATAAAATTCTTCTTCATAAAATTCAATTTACTTTCAAAATTTTCAATTAAAATTATTAAAGTAACTCCATTATTTGAAAAAAATTCTTCCAAAGAATTTAATTCGGATTTTTGAAAATTTTAATAAAATTCTTCGCGAAAATTCGATTGTTTTCCTAAATAATAAAATTCTTTAAAGAAATTCTATTATTATCAAATTTTTGGATAAAATTCTTTGCAACAATTCAATGATTTTCAATACATTAATTTTAAAATTGAAAATATTTGATAAGAAAAATTATAAAAAAGTTAAGAAACAAAAAAGCAAACAACTAACTTCAAACTGCGAACAGATTACCGGAACATGTACTTTATTATTATTAATAATTAATAATTATTAATTACCTATTATAAATTAATATTAAGTATTAGATTTGAAAAATTTAGTTCTACTTTTTAAAGATAATTGAATTTTTATAAACAAATAATTAAAATTACTTCAAAGAATTGAAATTTCCTTGTTTAAAATTTTAATATAGTTTGAAAATTTAAATCTTAAAAATTTTTATTTAAATTTCTTGGGAATTTAATTTTCCATATAATATTTCGCAGTTCTATTTTCTAAATAATCACAAAGCTTTATTGCGATGAAGTAATATTAAATTTTTTTATTCAGACAAAGGTATCATTAATTTTTCAAAATATTGCAAATTTTAATAAAATAATTAAATTTTTATTATTTATTTATTTCGTATTGCTTTTATTATATATTTATTCAAAATTTAATTAGACATACTTATAATTAATTTAAAAATGAATTCAACAATAATTTGTAAACCTTAAAAATGTTTAGTTTATATATTTTTTTTTTTAATCCAGTCTCAGAAATTTCCGAATAAATTCAAAATTTACATTTGATTAATTCGAAAATAAATTTGCAAAATGAATCAGAACATTGAAAATTTTCGAATTTTGACAAATTACCTACTTGGAAGAAACTTTTTCCCCTGTTGTTTATTTACAGAATATTTTTCAAAAGAACCTTCCTCTTTGTCGGTCTCGTTGAAGCGATGAATTTGTAATTTTTCATTGCGCGCTTTTTAATTTATAATCCCTTCTTCTTCTTTTTCGGTTGATGTTATCGAAAAAAGTAAAAAGAAAAAAAAAATAAATGAAAAAGAAAGAAAGTGAAAAGAGATGAGAAGCTATAAGAAAAAGTGTTATCGATTTATGTTTCCGGTAGATCTGGAACCCCTAAAGCTGCACAGCGTGGTGCCTGACGACGGGATAGTGTCCTGTGTCACAGCCTTGAGTTGCCTTAGAACACCGCCAATTTCCAGTATCATTGCCGAGGTGAAGAATGCTAAAAGCTCATCGCAAGCACTCCAACACAAGTGTCCACCTAAGGGAAATGGATCTCTATCAAGTACAGTGACATCGACGGCCTTGGATGACCTCATTCATCTATCGGCACCTCTCACCGAAGACGCGGTCCTTAAATGTCTCCAGGCTCGCTTCTGTGCCAAACAGTATCACGTGAGTTCATTTCAAAACTTTCTTTTTCCCTCACTATGCTGAAATACAACTATGCTGAAAAAAAATAAGTATAGAAATTCACTACTACCATATTCATAGAAATTTTGTTTTAATCCTTTTTTTCTGCTTTAGAATTTTGAAATAATTTTTCATAATAAAGAAATAATTAAAAATATATAAATTTTTTATATATATATATGAGACCTATATAAAATTTTGATTTTTTTCTTTGACCCAAAAGAATATTCTGATTCACTCTCAAAATTATTAGATGTATAAAAATATTTAATTATTATTTTTCCATGGGAATTAAGATTTGAAAAAATTTCAAATTTAAACCTTTTGAAATTTAAAGTTATCTAAAATTAATATTAAATCTTAAAGTTAATTTTTAAAGAATTTTGTATTAGAAAACTTTACGAGAATTCCATTATTTAAATAACAAGAATAAATAATTTATTGAATAATTGAATGTTTCTTTAAATTAAATTCTCATAAAGAATTTTAACAACAAATTTTTAAATAATTGAATTCCTTTGACGAATTTTAATAAAAATTACATTTTTGGGGCATTCGATTAAAATTGTATTAAAAATAATTGAAATTCTGCTATGAATTTTATTATTATTTATAAAAATAAATTGAATTCCTAAAAAAAGAAATTTATTTATGAAAATAATTGAATTCCTGGAAAAAATTGGACTATTTGTAAAAATAATTGAATGAGTGCGAAGAAATTTATAAAAAATTTGTTATAGAATTCCTGTGAAATTTTTATTATTTACGAAAATAATTAAATTTTTGCGTAGAATAATATAAATTTTTTTTAAATAATTGAATTCTTTTGGAAAATTTTATTAAAATAGTACAGTTTCGGCTTTTATATGGCTGATTTTACAAAAATACTTGGTATATTTATAAACGATAAATAATACTTTATCGTTTATAAATATAGTATTTTTGTAAAATCAGCTAAATTAGAAGAAAAATAAAAATAAATTATTCTTTGGTGGCAAATCTTTCACGGACCACCCAAAATTAACTGTGAAATATTTAAAAAAGATATGTATTCCCGTGGACTTAATGATCAATCATGGCCTCTTTCGTGTTATACCAAAACAGAGCTCTGATTTAACTCGAGAAAGATGTATCAATCACACTTAATCACTTTTATTTGCCAATGCGAATGACTTATTAAAAAAGAAACAAGAATTTCTTTTAAACAGAAAGAATTTCGAAAATAAAAATTTACGGATGGTGAGAGTGAAGAAATTTTAAACTTAAATTTTTACTTAAAAAAAAAAACATTGTAAAAATTTTGTTTAGGACACGTGGGAAAGTATTACTCGAAAAACATGGTTTCCCTCGTGTCGTCTCACTGCTAAATAATTTTCGATATCTCGTTCGGATAATTAGATAAGAATAATTAGAGGAATGATGAAGAATATTTTCGAAATTTGCAAGTAATTTTTTAAATAAGTTTGAAATTGAAAAATGTAGTTATGAAAGTTGCATTTTTCGCAGAAGTAATTATTCCAGAAGGTGGCGTCAATTCGAGCTAGTGGCCGCGGCTGAACTAAAAAAATTACTAAATTACTCCAATTTCAATCTTTAATAAAATAATTTCCTTGCAAAATTATTGACTCAAAATGGAGAAGAGCGCGCCTCAAATTCCTCTATCACTCCAGCTCCAAATTAAATATTTTATCCTGAAAAGATGAAAAGTCATTTCCAAACCGCAAAAAACCTTTCCGAATCTGTCAACAATTTTTTTAATAATTATTTTCAAAAATTTTTACAAATGAATGCAGAAATTCAAATATTTTCAAAAGTAATAAAATTCTTCGCAGAAATTCAATTTTTTAAAAATTCTCATTAAAATTTCAATTATTTTTAGAAATAATTAAATAATTCTTCTCTGAAATTTAATTATTTTCAAAAATTTTTCTCAATGCAATGATTTTCAATATCTACTATTTTCATAAAATTGTCCAAAAGAATTCAATTATTTTTTAAAAAATTTAATAAAATTCTACAAAAACTTTTAATTATTTTCATAAAATATAAAAAATTTCACAGGAATTCAATTATTTGCAAATTTTTTATAAATTTCTTCGCAATTATTCAATTATTTTCATAAATAATAAAATTTTTATAAGATTCAATTATTCTCGTAAATAGTACAATTCGTTTTAGAAATTCAATTATTTTCATAAATAATAAAACCCATCACAGAATTTCAATTACTTTTAATAAAATTTTAATAGAATTCCTTAAAAAATGTAATTATTCTTAAAAAAAAAAAATTTCGTCAAAATAATTCAATTATTTAAAAATTTGTTGATAATATTCTTTATAAGAAATTAAGAATTCACTGTTGTGAAACATTCAATTATTCAATAAATTATGTATTTATTTTTTGCATTCAAATAATCGTAGAATTTTTTAATAAAAATTTATTTAAAAATGAATTTCAGATAAAATTTTAGATAATAATTGAATATTAAAACCATTATAGTGTGAATTTTTAGAAAGAATTGAATTTCTAACACAGTTTTAATTAAATTCGTCTGAAAATTTCAGGAATTTAATTATTTTCTTAAATAATAAAATTCATCAGAACTTTAAAAGAATTCAATTATTTCGTTCAAAATCTTTTTTAAATTTTCTTCAAAATTTCAATTATCCTAATAAACAATAAAATTCTACCTCGAAATTAAATTATTTTTACAAGTAACAAAATTTTTCACAGGAATTCAATTATTTAAAGTAAAAATTAGTGAAATTCGTTGCAAAAATTAAATTATTTTCATAAATAATAAAATTCTTCTTAGGATTTCAGTTATTTTTAATATAATTCTTAAATTAATTCCTTGAAAAATATCATTATTTTTAAAAATGTTATTTAAATTAAATTCAATTCAATTTTGAGAAGCATTAAATTAATCAATAAATTATTCATTTTGAGAAATATTCAATCATTTAATAAATTATTTATGTTTGTATTTAAAATTAAATAATTGAATTATCGTAGAATTTTCTAATAGAAATTGATGCAAAAATGAATTTTTCTTTACATTTTATAGAATATAATTAAGTATTAAAATCATTATAGCATAATTTTTTATAAATAATTGGATTTTTATATGGTTTAAATTTAAAATTAAAATCTTTGAAAATCTGAATTTTTCATGTTTTTAACTAACAATTCTGTAGAATTAATTTTTTTGAAAAAGTTTAATTGATTTTTTCTAAAAAAATTTGAAGTTTTGTTTTCTAATATATATTTAATTGAAGAATTTCTGATTAATCGAAATTTCATAAAATTGCATTGTTAACAAATATATTTGTATTTTAAATACATAATTGAATTCTAGTAGAATTTTCTAATTAAAAATTGCTTTAAAAATGAATTTCACTTAAATTTTAGATTATAGTTGAATATTAAAAGCATTATAGCATAATTGTTTTTATTTTTTTAGAAATAGTTGAATTTTGAAAAAGTTTCAAATTAAAATCCTTGAAAATCTGAATATTTCAAATTTTTAATTAACAATTCAGTGGGATTAATTTTTTCGAATAAGTTTAATAATTGCGGATTTTTTCAAAATTATTTGAAGTTTTATTTTCTATAGTAATATAATTATATTTAATTGAAGAATTTCCGAATAATTGAAATTTTGTAAAATTGAATTACAGAAATGAATTTGAAAATTCTCATAGAACTTTATCAAAAATTATTAAAAATAATGGATTTTCAAATTGTCACAGAAATTTTTCGAAAATAAATTATTAAAATTACTCGATTTAAAGAAGCATTTTAGTTAAAAATGCTTGAAAATATTAATTGAATTGAATGAAAGAAATAATTTTGAAGAAGTACGGTAATTTTTGTCAGTACGGTCCGTAATTTTTAATTTTTGGACCCTTAAATTCCGTATTTTTAAATACTTTCACTGGTTCGAGCCCTGGTAGTCAAAAAAGAATATATAGTAAATAAGATGCATTTTTTACACTGTTCAGTAGGAAAAATATTCAAAATTACAAACTAAAATAATAAAAAAAAAAAGTTTTTGTGAGAATGATAAATAAAGATGAAAAGTGGTAAGGAAAGTTGAGAGAGGAATAATAAGGCGAAAGAGGCATAGAATGTGACAGGTTGAGAGAAGGAAAGAGGAAGTTTCTCAAGGTAAACGGAATAGGAGTGAGGGAGTAAGACAAAACGAGTGAGTCGCTGCGGTTAATACACGTTGGATGGAGGAGAAGATTGGGGGTTGAGAGGGGGGGGGTTAAGTTAATGGTAAACCGCGTGCACGCTCGGACGGAACATGTTTGCGTCATTGCATACATTGCCCCGAGTGAGTCCGCCCTTTGGGCCTTAAGGCCCTCGAGAAGAATGTGTGTGCGTGTGAATGCGAGTCAAGTCTTATATACTATATCTATATATATGTATGTATGTACTAGCTTTGCTTTGCTCCGTTTGCATTCCAAGAGAGTGCAGAGAGAACAGCCTCGAGTGCCGCTAAAACAGGCCCTCGAGTTGCCAGGACCATACTATTATTGCTCTTTGAGCACTCACAAAATTTCTCCTTAAAACCATCGCACATACAAATTAAGAGAGTAAAAAAAATTCTTATTTTAAGATAACACTGAAATTGAGTCTTAAGAATAAGTTACGAATTTGTGTTTGTGTATATCTACTACGTATTTTTGTGTAAATGCACCTGAAATGTTTATTTAAATCTGAATTTACGGGGACCGAAGGAATTCAGGGATATTTTTTTCTTGATTCTAGTCTTAATTTAAGAGGTTTTTATTATAGGTTTTCATTTCAGACTTTTATACACATATTATGGAGAGTTGCAAAATTTTAAAAGCAGACTTTGTTTAATTCATTATACTCTAACAATGAAATCTTATTTCAGGGGATGAAAGGATTCAAGGTTTTCAGAAAAACTTTAGGAAAACCTTGAATTCTCATTGAATTTTCAAAAAATTTA